CACACAGACAACCTCTCATCAATATGCGTTTTTCGCATTGCATTGCTGCAAAAAACGCATAATAAACTGGATAAAAAAGCTTCTAATTAGGAAAATACTCGAACTTACAGCGGATTTGCCATTTTTAATCTAAATGCCAAATTTCAGGACTGCCTCTTTTCGAGCAGCACGAGTTCACAAATCGCTCGTGACCATTTGTAACCTCATTTTTCGCGCTCAATTTTAGTTTCGCAATAATTTTTTATCAAGTTGATTTTTTATTACATTTCGTGCCTGGCAGTAGTATCCCAGCAACATCATTAACACGGAATCTCTAAATCAAATCGTTCAAACGGTCTTAGCATTTTTGGTCTAAGGAAGTGGATGTTGCTAAAAATAACATTTCCAGCAATGTTCGATGAAAAAGTTTGGGAAGATTGCTTCCTTTAAGCAAATAAAATTTTTTTCATTCTAAATTCTGTTTGCTTCAAAATCAAACAAAATTTTGCCTCCCTTTTGCATCCCTTTTTTGGTTCATCAAAAATGAAGCTTTCCAAACAGAATTTATCTAAAGTGCTATAGGATTTTCTGCGATTTCTCGTAAATATTCCAAGCTTCAGTTGTGAATCATTTCTTCAAATCATCAAGAAAATTTTTTAGAATTTCAGAATGGGATAGAGAAAGACAGAGAAAAATGATGAAGATGGGACACCGACGTTTTATTTAAAAAAATCCAAAATTCATTTTATGAAAAATTCAAAATTTTTTCCTTTACTTGCAAAATTTTTTTCAATAAGCAGAAACAAACAAAAATGCAAAAGAAGAAATTCTTTTCGCTAAAGTAAGATAAAAAAGTCAGGTAAGCCAGTCTGTGTCATCTACTGGACTTATAAACAGTTTCATCACCTACAAACAATTCCAATTACACACATACCTCTGTATTTCCTGTAATCCATCCATATATTGCCCATAACCTATGCACTTTACATATATTACCAACAATTATAGGACTAAATTTGCTCGGACGAAATACGCCGCAAAGATTTACCGGCTAGTTCACCATATACTATAGGTAATGAAAAGTGTAATGAAAAGTGTCTGTGTAACGCATACGCATATTACAGTCGGTTAACAGCCGAGCAAGTAATGAGGCAATGAATTTCATCGCTTTGACTGTCTTTCAGCTGATGAGGTTTATCAGGCTGTAATTCCCAAGAACAGTACAAAAATGTTTCGAAAGCTTATTTTTGTTATTTGCTTTCAAGTTTCTTGCAATTTTAGGCTTTCCGCCCGCTCAGTCCAATGACTCATTTCACTAATTCCCAAGTTACTTGCGCGCTCAGTTTACGACTTTCCCTGCTAGCGAAAATCATCATCATCTTCAAGAGAATTAGGCAGGGTAAGACAGGCGTCTGAAAGAAAAAAAAAAAAGGCTTAGTGCAAACAGTGTCGAAAGAAACTTTGCCGCTGCCAAGCATTCAAAGCGTCAAGGTGAGGATTTTATGAGGCGGCTAAGTCGAGAGAGCAAAGAGCTCTCTGCGGGCAACTGAACGAATGTTATTCACAGCAAATGTTCCTTGGGAAAAAAAATTGAAAAGCATTTGAGTCCAGTTCAAGTAAGATAAACGTGCTCTTTGGGGAGGGATGAGGGAGGGAGGGATTGAGGGATACGCGGGGGCACACGCATGCACAGCTGTTGCTCCGACTTATGTTCAGTGCTGCTTCATTCCGACACATCCATCAAGTCATTCTTTTGCTTATTCCCATCTCATCTTTTGGAGGATTTTCTCCCGGGAAATCACCTTTCGATCTGAAATTCAAGTCAGAGTCATTGTATATTTATTGTTTCAGCTTCGCATTTTTGTACTCTTACTGCACGGCATTGGGGATTCCCGAGACAAGTTCCAAAGATTGATGGAAGGTAAACCATGTGCGCGAAAACTACGCGGATTTATAAGTTTTTGCGGTTATAGGGGTTACTCAAGATGAATATTTGGATATTAAGGACATAAATCTGTGTTTTTTACATCGCTCAGACACATATAAACCAGTAAAATTTGACGAGCTCGCCTTGTTCTTTTCTAAGATTATAAATTCAGCCTCTGTCCAGAAATAAATTTATGAGTTGCCACAAATCGAAGCAGTGATTGTACATTTAAAAAAAAAATCTTAAAAATTTAAATCGCAGAGTCCCCTTCTACGACTCGTTCATTCGTTTCGATGGTAAATTGGTCCGGGGAGTCAAATCGGCCATCAGCTTAAATCCAAATAACTCTCAAATAAGAAAGCCACTGACAGTCTTGCAAGCAAGCGGTTGCTGTCAGCGTGCGTCTTGGGTATCTTACAGAAAGTGCTGCGAAGTGAAAGAGTTTAACAAAATTCATTTTTCAGATCATATGGAAATCCAGTTATAAACAGTGTTTTAATATTTTTCTTAATTTGTTTTTTATCAATTTATATATTTGCATTATTTGCCTTTGTTTATCGGTAGTAATAAATGAGCTGTCAGATTCAGAACGAGACCGAATGAGCCGTTAACGAGACCAGGTGAACAATTAGCACCGATTCGGCAGCCGCAAGAGCTGCAACTAATGGATTTCGCTGCTTATGAAAATTTTAGAGACATAAACAATGAATATCCATGATCAGATGGTGTCCGAAGTGAACAAAGAGGTATGGAAGGAATCGTGAAATGGCTAAGTTCCGAAAGAGACCAACTTCTATTCTTTTCTAGGTCTTGAATATCTCAGAAATTATCGGGCAAACAATTCAAGGCGCTAACAAACTGTGCATAAAATAGAAAAATTGAAAAAATGAGAGAGGCAGCTTCATACACTGTACAATTTCTTGGACTTCTGGTCAGCCGGAGTGCGTAGCTGCAACCGTTCTCGGACCGCCACTCGAGCACGCTCAAATCGCTCTCGACTTTCCATTCCCAAACTATCCAGACGGTCGAACATATCAATTCGTTCACGAATCGAAAATCGTTCGTTTGGTGCACGAACATTATCCGGATCCGGCGGCGGTGCACTGGACGGTGAGACGGCCCGCGAGATAACCGTATTCTTTGACACCACGCTGCTTCGTGATAGCCATTGGCCGGCATGTGCCACTAGACGACGGTCTCTGAAGGGGAAAAAAATCTTATTCCGGAATTAACTTCAAAATCATTTTCACAGCAGTGATCTAGCACTTAAACGTAGCATTTGATGGATACTACGCTGAGCACTACACCAAGGCTATGCAATAATGACCAAATTTTTCAACCATTCTCGTTACTTTAAGTTTCTTGAAAGCAATGGACGTTACGCATTTTGTGGTTGATATTTTAGGACTATCCAGAGCATCACTGTGAATTATTGAGGATACGCCACCAAAACCTCAATAGCTCAAAGTGATGTTCCGACTACTTCCTAATTTGCGCCGTTTACATGCAAATTCACCCGCAATCTGCACCACATTCGTTTTCGATTCGTTGATTTTCTGGATCACTCGTATGTGTGAAGCATACAGGGTGTTTTACTTATTTCGTGAAATTTTGTTACCCCAGTTAATACTATCACGCATAACATATTTTTTATGTCTACACATATATTAATATTAGCGGTTTCGATCTCATCTAACGTTTATTTTTCTATAGGCGTGTTCTATATTTAAGATATAAACTTAGGCTATACAAAGTTGATTAGCAGTGATCACAAACATGCAATAAAAATTTACAGTTAAATCACTCATTAATTATGAATT